ACTATATGACATGTATTCAAACTTTCAATCATCATATTATGATCAACAAGCGAATAATCCATTATTGACAAAAGCACAATTTGCAGCGATTACACCCCTGGTAGTCATCGATTGCTCTAAACAAAATGAATCCTTGAAATTTGGACCTGTGGATGTCCGCCTGGAGTTTGAAACAAAAATCAGTTTTTCTCCGGAAACTGCTGCTTATTGTCTCATTTTGCACGACCGAGTAGTACGTTACAACCCAATAAGCGGAGGAGTAAGAAAAGTAATCTAAGGAGGAGGGGCGAGAGGGGTATAAATTCTCATGACGATAGAAATATTTCATCAGTTGGGATGGAGGTGGTCGTGGACATACCAGGTTTCCAAACGCTCTCCAACGAGTTCATCGTGAAAGAACTTGGATACACAGTTTTGGATTCTGGTGTAGGATACCCTAACGTTTGGTTTTTCAAGTCCCCATGGAGATTCTCTAGTTTATCAGCGAAGTATAGAAGGGTAGCTTTGTGACTTGAGCGTCATCATCATGGATTACCCTGGAACTATGGAAATAGATCATACGAGCAAGTTGGACAATTAGTGCAAAAGTGGGAAAATATTGGTAGAATTTATGTGAAAGGTGAAGAGAAAAAAGAGTGGTTGAAAAAAACTTCTGGTCCTGTATTAGCACCGCTAGTAGTCAATATTGAAATTTTTTTCCATGATTGCCCATCACTAGCCAAATTCAAAGATTTACCATCTCGTACTTGCCCATTTCATAGTTATAGAGACGACAACAAGGCATGTGCCTTAAAAAATGTAGAGCTACTCAAAAACTGGATGATGAAGATAAGAAGAGTACGATCAGTAGATCGATCCTTCAATATTTACTACAAATTGAACAATTTAAATTTGATGGATTGTGAAGATATTGCCATATCTGCCACATTCATTTATAAGTTTCGTCGCTGCATGCCATGTTGATCAGTGTTGGGACAAGTTGACTGATGCTATGAGAGTTGATTGGTACATCAAAAGATGTAGACGTTGTTTGGAGCACTATGTTGTTTGGCTGCCGAGGGTGTTACTTTTGATGGACCACTACCTATGATAAGGGATTGTGTTAAATGCAATAATACTCAAGAAAAAATATACACAAAAAACAACGAAATATGTTTAATTATTATATTTATTCATGTATTTTTTATATACTATTACATTAGTTATAATCATAAAAATCATTGTGTAAAAAAAAATTGCCAACAAAGAAAAAAATGGAAATATTGTTTTATTTAATTTGTGAGTTGAGCAACAATCTCTTCATCCTCTGCATGGAATTTGATTTCATTCAGAAAATCTTCAATTTTTTAGGATTATTAATGAAAAATTTTGATATCCTTCGGTTCAGGAAAACTGAATAAGCATTATTCAAATGGAGGATCACACTCTTTCCTTGTTTGGTTTTGACTTTGGAGGCAGCTGCGATGGTGTATAAATAGTTGCGTTCCAATTCAGATATTTTCACCAAGAGGAGTTCTTTGAACTCTGCAATAGTATTCATCACATTGAAATTTGCTTCATCTGCTTTATTTTCAATTTTCACGTCTGAATCAGGATGTAGGCGAAGATTGTTGTATTTCCCACCTAGATATTCCAACGTTGGTGAACACTTTTCAATATGTTGTCGGAAATTCTCGAACATCTTGGGATTTTCAGCGAAATACTTGGCCAGTCGATTATTCACGAAAACTGTGTGAGTATCTGAGAGATGAAGAATAATACCAACTCCATACTTTGTCTCCACCTTGCGAGCTGCAGTGATGATATAAAATGCTCCAGCATCCAGATCCACCAGTTTAATAAGAGGAAGATTTTTCATTTGCGCCACAATATTGATTTTGGTGAAATCCATAATGATTTTTTTTTACGTGGGTATAATAATTAAGCTTAAATTCGAGTCTTCTGCAGATTGGAGCAGAGTATTGTGATGTTACACGGTACTTTATAACTTGTTTCACTTCTTGAATGTTTTTCAGGAGACGGTCTAAACGTTTCTTTAATTCCCGTCGTTCGAAGCTGTCCTTCATGGAGAGCGACAAGATGAACTGATGATGTGTGCGGGGATTTTTTCGTTTATATACATAAATCGCTCACTCTTAAACCTTTCTTTTTTCAATAAATAATTTTTTTACATTATTATGAATAACGTTTGTTCCTACGAGTGGTAACCATCAAAGGACTGATAATCTTAAGTTCACGCGAAAATTCTTTGCATATATACATACCCCCTCCCCTTTTGAATTCTTCTTTTTAAAATAAATATTTATATATTGATATCGTTATCAATGACAATTTCACACGAAGGGGGGCGGCAAACGAGAAAGTACCGGAAAACTCAAGTTCAGACATGTCTGGAAAATGTCAAGTGGAACCAGGTGTCAATGATTGAAGAAGAGCCCCTTCTATGATTTCTGCAGCAAACTAAAGCAGCAAATTAGTTAACCCCTTTCACCCCTCGCGGCAATGTACTGAGAAGTTCGGGTGTAATAATTGATTAATTAATCGATCCTCGAATTTAGCCATGATCTGCGGAATTAATCTGCGAATCAAACCGCGACCTGCAAATTAATTAACCCCTTCACTCATCCCCTCGCGGGGTGGATTGACTAGGTCACCGAAAAGGTCCTTTGTAATGCAAAACCGCGAATTAAATTGATTAACCAGCGAATTAAATAACCCTTTCATCACTTCAAGGGAAAAAATCGCGAATTAATTAATAAAACCGCGAATTAAATTGATTAACCAGCGAATTAAATAACCCTTTCATCACTTCAAGGGAAAAAATCGCGAATTAATTAATCACACCACGAATCAAACCGCGAATTAAACCGCGATCCCGTGAGTTAATTAACCCTTTCATCAATTCGAGGGAAAAAATCGCGAATTAATTAATAAAACCGCGAATTAAACCGTGACCCCGCCTATCAGACTCTGAATTGAAACGTGACGTCGCGAATTAATTAAACCTTTCATCGCTTCAAGGGAAAAAATTGCGAATTAATTCATCAAACCGCGAACCAAACCGCGAATTAAACCGCGAATTAAACCGCGATCCCGCGGATTGATTAACTCTTTCATCACTTCGAGGGAAAAAATTGCGAATTAAAAACCCACCCACCCACTTTCATCTGACTCCCCTACTGGGCCCCAACGACCAGGTCGACGCCAAAAACGTGGCGCTCGAATCGGCATTACATAACTACTGTCCAGGAATCGGAATGGAGGGAGGGGGATAGGAATCCAGCTCCACATGGACGGCTCGGTGAAGACATATGTCCAGGTGGAAGTCCAGGTGAAATTCAAGTGCTAGGAAATCTTCCAGGTGAGGGAAAAATTGCCGGAACTGTTCCAGCTTGAGGTCCAGGACGGTGAACTCTCCCAGGGAGTGGTCCAGGTTCAGGAACTGTTCTAGGTAGAGGTCCGAGTTTCGGAACTGTTCCAGGTGGAGGTGCAGTTTCGAGAACTGTTCCGGGTACATCTCCAGATCCGGGTACACCAGACCAGACTGCACCTCCGCATGGAACAGTTCCTAGACATGGAGGTCCACTTGAAACAGTTCCTGAAATTGCACCTCCACCTGGAACAATGTCCAGAACTGGACGTTCACCCGGAATCATTCCCGGACCTGGACGTTCACCCAGGACCGTTCCCGGACCTGAAAGTGTACCCGGAACAGTTCTCGAACCTGCACCTCCACCTGGAACAGTTCCTAGACATTGACGTCCTCCTGAAACAATATCCAGACCTGGATGTTTACCCGGAACCATTCCCGGACCTGGAGATGCACTCAGAACCGTTTTCGAACCTGGCCCTCCACTTGGAACAGTTTCCAAACCTGCACCTCTATCCGGAACAGTTCCGGAATTGGGACCTCTACCTGGAATAGTTCATGAACCTGGACCTCTCCCTGGGACAGTTCACAGTCCTGGATCTGAAGCTGGAACAGTTCCGGGAATTTTCCTCTCACCAGGAAGAATATACCTAGCACTTGAACATAACCTGGACCTCCGCCGGAAGCTGGATTCCTACCCCCCCCCCCTTGCCGATTCCTGGGCCCCTGACTCTGCCCCTGATCTTCACCCCAAGAGAAAATTTCATAATCACCATTTTTCTCATTCAAAAACCTTTGACTTGAGATCTATTGGTCCAGTGGGCGGAGCAACGCTATGATTGGTCAACTTCAAAGTTAAAAAACTCGACAGGGATGTGTCGCACAGCAAAGTGGAACAAGAACTTTCGATCCCAAATTTCAATTTCTTTCCACACTTAAAATTAGAGTGCGCAATTATGGGACACCGTGTATTAGATATAAATATAAATTTGTACCTTATTGATCACCCAGAACCTTCACTAACCTTGCGATTAACATGAATAAATCGTGTCGAATAAATGATCATATAAACAACTGAATGATTAAATACTAAAAATATGAGGAGACTGGTAGATCTTATAATTATACACTTACTGATGGAATGTTAAATATTCATTTTTTCTCTTGTTTTCTTGCAATAGTGATGCCATAACCCCGAAAATCGTGTGGGTTATGGCATCAGTTAAGTTTTAGCCGCAACTTACCCAGCAGCCGATCAAATACCCTCTGCGATATTCCGTGACGCTGGCATAACTTCAATTTTTTTCACTTTATCGATCATAAGGGTAAGGCGGTAGTCTAGCCAGTTATATAGAGATCAGTGACAAGACCTGATGACTCTCAATTGTCGTACTTGTCACGCCCTTCCAATCCCTTCTATTTCAGTTCATAAAATGAGGTACCAGTTACAACTTGTTCGCAATTCACTAGGTCTTATTTCACCACCTGTTGCAATTTTACGCAGTTAATGTAAAGCAATTGCGCTGAAAGTTGAAATCAAACATTTGAAATCATTTGAAACGATTTGGAATAATTTAAAATCGTGTGGAATCATTTAAAATCATGAAGTCAAGGACAAATTCTATCAAATCACTTGAAATCCACCATTCCTTGAAAGGACGTGAAATCACTGTGAAATCACTTGAAATCAGCAATAATTGTGTTACGATATTCGGTAGTAAGTAGTCCTTCGCTTCAATTGGGACGCGCTGTTGGACCAATGTTTGGCCGTATTGCATATATCGCCACACCCTGCATGCGAAATGAGAATAATAATCATCTAAATATAACCGACTATAACCTGACAGTCTGATCTGGTAACTTCTGGCATGCTTGGGTATTTTTCAAGTTGATAAAAAACATCGAAGAGGAGCTGATATTTAATCAAAGCTTAGCCTACGAGTATTGAGACGATTTCAGTTAAAGACAATCGCGGCCCTTATACTCGGAGGTTCAATATTGGATCGATGTTTGGCTATCTTGGAAGTTTCTCAAAAATTTCCTGAGAGGCACCACTGAACGCATCAGCAGAGTACTCGGCAAACACAACATCCGGACAATCTTCCAACGCCCAAAGAAGATTGGACGGATGCTGCGAAAGATCGCAGATCGCCTCTGAGTACACCAGGAGTGTACGAGATCCCCTGCTCATGAGGAAAAGTGTACATTGGTGAAACCGGGAGGAAGATCAGTACACGGATCAAGGAACATCAACGGTGTTCCAAATACGGTCACACACAACAGTCTGCATTTGCTGAACATTACATGGACACTGGACATAGGATCGAGTACGATCAAGCCGTAATGTTGGCCATGTCTCAAGGATATTTCGAAAGGACATACCGAGAAGGTTTGGAGATCTACAAAAACCCTAACAACCTTAACAGGGATAGAGGATATCAAGTGGTTCACTCCCGGTTTTTTAATTGATCAGCTAATCAATTACAACATATGATTGATTGACCCCCTCCAGCCTTCCCCTACCCCCACTATCACAGGGGAAGGCATAAAAGGACTACCCTCAGATATCGGAGCTCAGAATCGGAGCTCACAGCCCTGAAGATGCAGACTGCAATGTTTGCAAAACGTAAGGCGCAATGCTACAACCAAACGTGGCATCCATCCGGAAGCCAATAATGTCATTAATCATGACCGCGAAAGCCTTAAAAGGTAGATTTGGCAGTGTTGTATATATCGGTAAGCTCTCCATAAGTGCTGCTTTGAATCACCACATTTTTAACCTTAGAGGGTAAATTGAATTCATTGGGACAAAAATTTATTCTCTATATCCAAGCTTTACGACCAGGTTTGTTATGAATGTTGGCGATAAAAATGAATCAGTTAGTAAAATTCGAGAGTAGTATTTTTTGTAGTTACGAGGTTTCAGCTGCTTGACTTTATATATGGAAATTTTTTTCAACTTTAATACCGACGTATTTTTTATTCTATTCGCCTCGAGATTGGTTCGATGTCTCTTATAATCTCAATAAATCCTTCTTAGTACTCTATTTTATCCAGTAATGAATATGTTTACTTCTCAAAACGGTAAGTCGGCTAGAATTGTCACAATTTTATCGTTCCTTCATGCAAAATTAATAAGGCATAGTGCTTTAACAGATCAAAGATGCAAAGGTGGAATAGAAGTTGGAACTTGGTGAAATGCATTTACTTCTCTAGGTTGTCGTCGGGATTGGAAGATTATGTGCCAATGCGTAATGACCTCGGTACTGAAGCCATAGAATGATTAGACTTCTCAAGCGTTTACAATCTGTCTCGCTATCTTAAAAACATAGGTATGATTTGATTTAAAAATATTTCACATCAGTAATAAAATAATTTCATCATCTCCTAAGCGTTCAAGCAAAAGCACCCTCTCCAATGCCCCTTCAATAAATAATGATGAATGCAAAACGTTGTTGAAAAAAATTTAGAGTCAAGTGTTGATTTAACTCGATCCACATTTGAAATGGATGATTAAACCTTCTTAGTTTAAGCACTGATGGCTCCAGAAAATTGCCCTGCATGTAACGTGTCAGAATCATAATAACAACAAACAAGAAAAAGGCAAATAGAGCTTATCGATACACGGGAGTTAGAACAAAGCATCTCGCTCTCACCACAGTTAACCATATCTCAATCCGAGTGAATTTGAAAATATATCTGCTGTCCTCTCCAACATCTCTTCACCCATTCTCTCCCCGAGGCGGCGCGCGCTAACTTTTCCATTTTGGTCGAATAATCGTTGGAACGTCCCGCGGTTACCCCAGCAACGATCCGGCCCGTCATTGGCTGGCTCACGTAGACCGCCTTCAAGCATGTTCCACCCCATGCTCCTTAACTTCTTCCTTTTCACCTCCTCGCCTACCGATTCTCCTCGCCCTTCTATCATCCACGTAACTCTTGTGCAATATTGTGAAGTAGAAAGGGATGGGCGGAAAGAGAAAAAGGAGAGACGGCTGGATTCAACTACATAGCACGCACTTAGCCCCGTGGTTAACTTCAATGAGCGGATAACAAGCCTCCCCTCAAATTTACTCTGTAATATTCCGTCACATAAATGGACCCACGGCTTTGTCAAATCAACTGTCAGTCGTAGTAAACAACTACCAGAGTCGTGTTTACGCTTCTGTGGGGTCTATCATACTCATACCTGACTGAGAATTGCTTGAATTAGTATTCAAAGATGCAAACATTCAGGCCTGATGTGCCAACATTGGTTATCGCACCGATCAGTTGTGCCTTGGTCTTTTCTTGTTTTCAGGTTTGAATTGAGTAACCTGTGTAAAATTTTGGCGGAACACTTGAATCAGGATCATCTCGAGTTGAAATGTGAGACTTCTTTTACATCTCTGTAGTCTGCCTTAAAGAGATCTAAAAGAGACCTGAGACTCTCATTCAAAAATGTAGTGTCTCAATCCTCTGTTAATTATCCAAGTGTAGTTATTTCCCGATTAGGTACTGCAGACGATATATATGTATATATTTTATTATTTTCCCATTTCCTTCTTTACAATTAAATTGATTTAATTTTATTCATTCTTTTTCTTATTATATGGATATTTTTCATAATTCACAAGTTACAACATTGAATCAAGGTGAATCATGTTAAAGATCAATAAAAAGTGTTTTTTGAGATTAAAAGAAACACACGAAACAAAAGTATTGCGAAATCTCATTCGGGTAATACAAAAATACCTTTTTTCCTGCATATCGAAAAAGGATATGGATACTTCATATTTCTATAATGGGATTCCAATTACACTGTCCGATAAAAAATGACCTTTTTCGAGGCCAGACATGAAATGTAGATGGAATTAAAGATTTTTTCACACCGATTCCAATGGCGCTTGCCAAATTCCTCTATCACGTTAAGTTCCTAAAAAAAATGAATGAAGTCGAAAATTGACTCAAAAGAGCATCCGGAGGAGAAAAATTGTGGAATGAAAATAAAGTTCCTTCGATCTGAAAGAAATGATACGCAAATAAAAAACATTGATTCATCAGACGGAAGAAAGTTTCCTCCAATTACGGAAGTAATTTCATCAGAAAAAATTCACAAAATATCAGATATTTATGATGTTTTGAGAGGAATGACACGATGTATCTGAAGTTGTTTACAGAACTCTCTAACCCAGCTAAAAATGAACGTTGATATCTTCTATGGCACGATAACCCTTTTCGAACATGAGTCTCAACTTGGAGACATTTCGTTCAGTAAAGCTAATCAACAACTGCGTCAAAAGAATTGATGACATGGGCACACACGTGAATTCGTATGAAATCCGCTGTCCGACACGTATAAAACAATTTTCTAGAAAGACCTAGCAAATTCGCTGTACGATTCTATCAATTTTTGGTTTCTATTGTATTGTTGAATAGAAGATATCTTACAAAAAA